GTATGTCGATTTTATCGAGCTTTATATGGCTTTAAACAACAAGCTCTTAGGACATAGTTTGCCAAATTTTCTTCAGTTATTTGTGACTTGAGTTTTCCGCGCCAGTGACCATAATTCTGTCATCTTTTTACGGTCTATTTCCTCAGGTATTATTATTCTTTTACTATATGTTGATGATATGATTATTATGGGTAATGACACTACTGATATATGCTTATTGAAAACTCAGTTGCTGGACCATTCTAAGATGAAGGATTTGGGCAGCTTAGGTATTTTTTGGCATTGAGATTGCTTTATCTCCTAAAGGCTATCTTCTTTCTCAGTGCAAGTATGCCTTTGATGTTATTTAACGAGCTTATTTATTAGATAATCTGACAATTGAAATGCCTTAGAGCCCAATGTTCATTACTCTTCTTCTTATGGTACTCCTTTGTCTGACCCTACACTCTATTATTGGAGCTTAGTATATCTTACAGTCACTTGTCTGAATATCTCTTATGCTGTTCATGTTATTAGTCAATTTGTTGCCTCACCCACCATTATTCACTGGGCTGCTGTTTTTCGTATTCTTCAATATCTTCAAAGTACTCTGCATTAGAAATTATTATTTTCCTCCTCCTTTATGGAACTTGGAGCTTATTTTGATACTGACTGGGTTGGTGACTCTATATACTCTAAGTCTACCACTAACTTCTGCTGCCTCTTCCTCGGTGATTCTCTTATTTCTTTGAAAAGTAAGAAATAAATTATTGTTTTCTCGTTCATCTGTTGAAGCTGAATATCGTATAATAGCATCTACTGTAGCAGAGATAGTTTGGTTACAAGTCAGTTATCTATGACTTGGGTTTTCGCGCCAGTGATCATGATTCTGTCATCTTTTTACGGTCTATTTTCTCAAGTTCTATTATTCTTTTACTATATGTTGATGATATGATTATTACGGGTAATGACACTATTGATATATGCTTATTAAAAACTCAGTTGCTGGACCATTTTAAGATGAAGGATTTAGGGCATCTTAGGTATTTTTTGGGCATTGAGATTGCTTTCTTTACTAAAGGCTATCTTCTTTCTCAGTGCAAGTATGCCTTTGGTGTTATTTAACGAGCTTGTTTATTAGATAATTTGACAATTGAAACACCTTAGAGCCCAATGTTCATTACTCTTCTTCTTATGGTACTCCCTTGTCTGACCCTACACTCTATCACTCTATTATTGGGAGCTTAGTATATCTTATAGTCACTTGTCCGAATATCTCTTATGCTGTTCATGTTATTAGTCAATTTGTTGCCTCACCCACCACTATTCACCGGGCTGCTATTTTTTGTATTCTTCAGTATCTTCAAGGTACTCTGCATTAGAGATTATTATTTTCCTCCTCCTCCTTTATGGAACTCGGGGCTTATTCTGATACTGACTGGGCTGGTGACTCTAAGGACCGTAAGTCTACCACTAACTTTTGCCTCTTCCTCGGTGATTCTCTTATTTCTTGGATAAGTAAGAAATAAACTGTTGTTTCTTGTTCATCTGTTGAAGTTGAATATCGTGCGATAGCATCTACTGTAGCTGAGATAGTTTGGTTACGATGGCTTCTTGCTAATCTTGATATCGTGTTATCTACACCTACTCTTATGTATTGTGACAACACCAATGTTATTCAGATTGCTCATGACTCAGTTTTTCATGAGCACACAAAGCATATTGAGCTTGATTGTCACTTGATGCGTCATCATTTTCAGCTGTGAACCATCTCTCTTCTTTTTCTGCATTCAACTCTGCAAGTAGTGGATTTCTTAAGAAAATCTCATATCATTGCATGGTTTCAATTTCTTCTTCGCAAACTATTGATGTTCTCTACTGTCACATTATGAGTTTTAGGGAGGGTGTTAGAGAGTTTAGTATTATTGAGGGTAGTTTAGTTATTCTCTTTATTTTATGTTGCCCTTCTATATAAGGGCTTCCATTGTGTATCTCATGCTATGTTCTAACAGATTATTGTAGCCGTAATATATTTTCATCCTTTTCTCTCTTCTCTCTTCTTTGTTTTTGATCAGTATTATCAAATGAGTCCGTGGAATTTCTGTGGTGAAGGTTTTCCATATGGGATTCGCTACTGAAGAATTTCAGGGCATCTCTTTCTTTCTCGCTCTTCAAGGTTGGAATGCAATTTGTGATTAAGGAAGGATAATTTTGTTTAGAAGCTTTTTGGTATTGTATGTTTTTGCACTCTATTATACAAATGGTTGGATGCTTTGTTCACCATTTTTGCTTTATCATCATTACTAGTAGTTAAATTTCTTACCGAAAAAATAAGGTATCTTGTATCTATTAATTATAATTTACTTACGTCGAAGGAGAAAAAAAAAGAAGGTTGTAGGCAGTAGAGTGCAGAAGCCAGGTATAGAGTCATTGCTCATACGACCCGTGAGAATGTTTTGTGATAATCGGACAGCCATGGATAACACTTTTAATCCCTTATTTTATTTGAGGACTAAGCATATTGAAGTTGATTGGTATTTTGATAAAGTTTTTTTATTATAAATAAAACATTTTTTTTTTGTGTTTATGAGATCTTGAGGTCAGTTTAGGTGATATGTTAATTGAAGTTTATAGGTAGTGTATTATTTTAGTTAATATCTATGTTCCAGTTTGAGGAGTGTTAAGTTTTAAAAGTTTGGGGTATTACTGTAGCTATTTTTATGACTCGATATATAATTATTTAGCGCATCTGCGGGCTGTGGGTTCTCTCTTCTTCTCTTTCCCACCTATTTTAGCACATAAACCCTAAGAAGGTGTACATGGAGAGGTTGCAAATACAAGCTGTAAGCAAATTTAGCATGGATTTCCTTACTCATTTGATCTAGTTCATAAGTAGTTAGCAGTCAAACGAGTGTAGTAAAGTGATTACTGCACCAATTTTATTTAGAATAAAGCAGCAGCAGCAGAAGGAACTGATAGGGTAGACAGCAAATAAGGCAACCTGTCAGTGGTGCGATATAATTGAAGATGATGAGCAAATTAAAATGCTGCTGAGATTCATATAAAAAAAAATGAACCTTAATCTGTTATGAATTAAAATAGCCTCTAGCGCAATTTCATTAGTAGCAAATTTGGAAATTAAACTTTCTGAGATCATCTTATAATAAATGAAATGTAGTCTGACTTCACTACGAAGGGACTCATTTTTTAGGGCGAGTCAAACTGTGATGCATGACTTTTTTAATATAATTTATCTATTTATTTAGTTGCTTACCTCAAAACTGCAGATAATTAGGGGGCCAACACAGGATGAAGGGGCGCTCGATGCTTTTGTTTCCATTGTGACAGGTCCACCAGGGCCAAATCCAGTGCAGTTAATGCCGAGAATCTCCTTTCCTGTCCTACTGTTATGGGGTGATCAAGATCCATTTACTCCACTTGACGGGCCTGTCGGTAAATACTTCTCGTCTCTTCCTTGCGAACAACCAAATGTATGCCTCTTTGTTTTAGAAGGTGTTGGACACTGTCCTCATGATGATAGGCCAGATTTAGTCCATGAAAAGCTGCTCCCTTGGTTGGCCTGTCTTCCTGCTTCATGAGATGTTATTTTATTTACCTCATTCCAAGTGTTAATGTGATTTTAAATTGTATGACTCCCTTGCCAATTGACATGGGTTGTCATAAGTATAGACTATGTTGTAGCCATTGTACTTCTGTACTTCTTCCTGGTTATAAACTTGGACCTCTTTGGAAACAAGATGCAAAGAAAACAAGCAGAATGCCAAATTGGTGAATAGTGTCCCTGGCTAGAACATTTGCTAATTGTTACTTCACAATTTTGCCCAATTACATTTGAAGTGAGCTTTCTTTTGAATGTTTTTAGTTTGTTTTCTTATTTGAGATCGAGGCTTGTTGAGTTGAGCTCTGTGATCTGCCATAAAAATTCCTGGTAATTAAGAGGAGCAAAAGGGACACATTTACTTCCATCTTTCTTTATTGAGTTTGTCTCAGTCCTGCAATTTATTTGGCCCAATGGGAAGTATGGATGATTTGGTTATGACTTTACAGCCCTCTCGATGTTGACCTATTAAAGGTTCCCTCCAATTAATTTGTTTCTTTCAAATAATTGTTTGTAGATGTCATTTTTTAAAAAGTTTACAGCAGTTTGTGAAATTTCATATCATTCGAGGAAATGTCTCAAGGATTGGGTGCTTTTTAGGCATGGAAAATGGAAAGACATGCTGTGATTTTGGGAATGCTTCCAGAAAGCAAAATGGTCCACCCTTTACTAATTAGGTAGGATTTTTTAAAAGTGATTGCAGGAAAAAAAATTAGGCAATTAAAAGAATGTTTTGAAATTGAGTGTAGTTGATCTTAAGATGGATGTGTGATTTCAATATGTTTATTGAAGATCTATTATTGGACTATTGAGAAAAAGTTATGTCGTAAGGTAATAATTTTTCAGATGTCACCTACCGAGTGCCAGAAAGAAAAAAAGATTTTCGATTTGTCTTTATGGTGTGCTTGGTAGGGTAGATAAAAAAAAAGAATGATGGAAAGTGAGAGTTATACACTTTCTATCATTCAAGGAAGAATATTTATTTCCCTCTTTTATGTTTGGTAGGAGAGATGAAAAATAGGATAAATTATTATTATTATTTTGTATTTAGTAGGATGAAAAAGTTGAAGAATAGAAAAAGTATAGATGTATATTTTACCATTGTATCCATATATGAAATTAATGTGTATATAATATGTAATAGCTAAATAGAATATATGCATACAATAATGGATATAAAGGTAAATAACATATATTTCAATGCACATAATTAATTATTACATATGATATTGAAAGAAAAATTAATTCATTCACTTTTTTATTCATCTTATTTTCATTCTTTACCAAATATGATATTTTATATATCATTCTAAGTTTCAATCCTTCAATTTTTCTATCATACCAAACAAATCATTAGTCTCTAGAGAAGGTAGTCTTCGTCCGCAAGATGGGTGGTCTCCCTATATCAAATTCTATCAGATGTAACAATCATCACACTGTTTAATCTTGTACGCTAGCATATAATGTCTTCACTTTTGGGATGCATATAAATATGTAAAAGCTAAACAATTTTTCTCTACTTTCTCCTTTAGTGTATCTAGCTTGCCACTTCCAATCCAACGAGAGAAAGGAAGAATCCATTCTTGCACTAAATTGGAGTGTGTGAGCGACCCCTGAAAGTGCACTAAGAAGTAGTGCATTTATTCTCTCCCTTAGAGTCGGGGAGCATGAGGTGAGTCATAAGCCTAGACAATGAGAATAACATGCCTTAGCTTATGGGTAAAAAAAAAAGTGTGCTTCTTCCCCTTTTGGGCATTGATGTGTATGATGCCCCTCTATTCACGTAATATAGATGTATGTATATTCCTATTGAAGATGGGAATATTGTATTTTTTTAATCAAAATATAAAATACAATTAACAGAAAATTAATTTACACAAATAGATAACTGGGAAATGTTCTTCCTTTGCATCATATGAAAACCATGATACAATAAGAGAATTGGAGATATAATTGTATTTTGTATTTTGATTCAGAAAGTAGTTGTTTACTTTCAATTCAAACAGTAATAGTTTCTACAAGTTAAACTCTGCAACTCATATGCTGCAATGCTTGTACTCACATATATAGTACAAATAAAAAGTTGAATTCTCAATTTATAAAAACACAATGGTGGTCAAGATTAACTCAACTTTCATTTATTTCGATCAAATAGTACAAAATTCATCCTAATTTTTCTCTTCTCAAAATATCATATTCTCTACATGATCTCCAATACTAGACAACTCAATTAATACACTCCCCAATGTCAGAAAACCCCACTAATTTACACCTAATTCTTTTATTTTCTTCTATTCACTATAATTTTAAGTTACATAATTAAATATAAGAAAAAAATAAATTGCTATATATTTAAAATATAAATGTTGTACATTTTTTGTATTGCAAAGTGACTTCATACATAGATTATTACTAGTATCTAATATTATAGTTAGAATCCAGGGTCTGGGAATCCTGGTGAATCCTGGTGCAGCTGGAGGTGGAGTAGTTCTCAGGAATGAGTGGGGAGGATTGGTTTGTGCTGCTTCATTCTGGTATGGCATTGAGACTAATATGAGAGCTGAATTTAAAGTTTTGTTGGATGGTCTTTGTATGATTGCTAGGTGTGGGTTGCTTGGAGAGAGAATTTGCATTGAGTCAGACTCATTGGTGCTGGTTAAGACTATTAAGGGCCTGTTGGATTGTGCCTGGCCTTTGTTGGGTTTTCTGGATCAGATTAAGGCCTTCTTGAACAGAATGCAGTTTACTTTGGGGCATATATATAGAGAAGCTAACTCTGTTGCTGATGCCTTAGCAAATACTGCTGTTTATAAGGGTTACTCTTCTGAGTTTGTCAACAGTGCTCAGCTGCCAGTTGCTGTCAGTCAATGTTTGCTTCAAGATCAGAGGAGTCTTCCTGTTCTGCGCAGAAAGAGCTGTATGATTTTTGATAATAAGGGTTGAGTTGGTTGTAATGCCCCTTAGCAAGGCTTGTGTTGGAATCTGTAAACAGCTGATGCTGTACTGTTTTTGAGGTATTGGTATGGGATTTTTAAAGCTGTCTTAGCTGAGGGTGCTGAATGCTGATCTGGAGTTGATTTGCAAGGAGTTGACTGCTGGTTGGTGCAAGCAGTGGTTTTGCTTCTGTTTAGGCCAACTGAGCTGTTGGTGGGCAATGCAGTTGGTTTTTTCAGCAAATGCAGCAGGTGTACAGGTGGCAGTTCAAAGGTTTTGTTCTGTTTTCTGTTAACTGCTTCTCTAACAGAATTTCTGTTACAAAACAGAAAATCTGTTTGTAACAGTTTTTTCTGTTTTCAGTTTTGTAAGCACAGTTACTGTTTTTGTCTTAAAACAGTTTCTGTTTTGATTCTTGTAATTTTTGAAAAAGGAAAAAAAAAATAATATTATAGTTAGAATATTGAATTCCCAATTTATGAAAACACAACAATAGTCAACATTGATTAAATCGTTATCTACTTTGATCCAATTGTATAAAATTTATTCCCAATTTTTTTCCCTTAACAAATCTTTCTTGCATTTTTTTCAATGTCAGATAATTCAATTAATACATATTCCAAGGTCAAATAATCTCATCAATCCACACCTACCTCTCTTTTCTCTCTGTTCATTTTAATTTTAAATTGCGTAATTAAAAAACTAAATTATTATTTAAAATATAAATATTACAAAATCAATGTTTGATTTTTAGTATTGTAAAGTGTCTTCAACTAAATTCAATAAAGGTTTACCCTAAGTATTTAAATTCAACCAAATGAATCTTTGTTATGTCGTGTTTTTATCAGGGACCCAATGTAAATGCTTTTAGCATTCATACTTGTTGTCACAAGAGGAGGAGAAACTGTGGATCTTCCTTCATGAGTATACACATGGGGCACACAACACTACCTAGAAGGGAGGATGGGGGTTGAATAAATTTTTAAACTTTAAGCTTGGATAACCACAAATTAAAACCTGTTACCGCCTCAATTATCTATTCTCACAAAGATTAGAAAATTAATGGTGAGAACCCCTTTTTAACCACTCCCCTTTTAAGCATAATGTCCTTGTAAAATTCAAAAAAATTTAAAATTTTATTGAAAAGGGCAAAACAGTAATTAGATGTTATAGTATGAGTTAAAAACTTAAATTTTTCTAGAACTCGAATGACAAGATGAACCTCACAGTTGGATCCGTATCGTGAAATCTAACTACCCAGTCAATTTTTGTCAAATTTTGAGATAGTTGATTTTTTGCGTTTTTTGGGTTGATTGGGTGTCATGTGACTAAAATAAATGTGATCAAATTTTATTCGTGAAATTTGAAAAATAATTTAAAGTTAGTTCAATAAAAATGTACTAAACTTAATACGAGACAAAATTTAATTAATTCGGAATAATATCAGATCAAAAAAGTCGGCATGTGTGGTGTATTTTAAGCCATCCAATTAGAGGGTACAAAAAAGGGGGGAAAATGAAAATTTCCCCCATTGTGTTGCTGCAATTTTTAGAAAAGAGAGAGAAAGAAGAGAGAGAAAAACCAAGGGTTCTCCCACCTTCTCCGTCCGATCCACGACGATCCGACTGTTGGATCTCGTCAGGCTAAGAGATCAAGTCGCTCTACGCAACGAAAACTACGGTACATACCAAAGATCGTGAGTTTCACCAACATCTCAAGGATGAGATTTCTGGGATCGTTGGGACGTCTTCTACACGAATATATGCTACAAGAGGTAAAATTCCTTTCCTAATTAGGTTTATTTCTAACTTAGGGTTAAAATATAAAATAGGTAGGGTGTTAGAGATGAATTCTAATGTATAACGCATACCTAGGATGATTAGATTATGAAAATGGGTATAAGACGTTAGAAACAATTCTTGCATGATTTGGTTTTGATGAAATTGTTTGATTTGGAGTTTCATGTGAAATGCGTTGTTTTGGGTATGCTATGTGTTCACATAATTTTGCCTATTAAGTGTTTGATAAAATGCTTATGAGTACAGG